TTGAATTCCAAAGGAAAGCTGAATCCTAACTGCAATCCTGCTTCAGTTCCATAGAAAAGTTCAATTCCACAAGAAGCTGAACCTTAGGAACAATCTGGCCTCAATTCTACCCAAAACTGAATGCTAGCAGCAATCCTGCTTCAACCCCACAGGAAGCTGAATTCCTACCTGAATTCCACAGGAAAGCTCAATCCTAGGAACAATCCTGCATCAATTCCACAGGAAAGGTGAATCCCAGCAGCAATCCTGCTTCAACCCCACAGGAAACTGAATTCCTACTTGAATTCCACAGGAAAGCTCAATCCTAGAAGCAATCCTGCTTCAATTCCACTGGAAACTGAATCCTAGTAACAATCCAACTGGAATTCCACATGAAGGCTGAATCATAGGAGCAATCCTACCTGAATTCCACAGGAAAGCTGAATCTTAGGAACAATCCTGCTTCAATTCCACAGGAAAGCTGAATCCTAACAGCAATCCTGCCTCAACTCCACAGGAAGCTGAATCCCAGGAACAATCCTGCTTCAGTTCCACAGGAAAGGTGAATCTTAGGAACGATCCTACTTGAATTCCACAGGAAACTGAATTATGGGAACAATCCTACTTCAGTTCCACAGGAAAGCTCAATCCTAGCAGCAACCCTGCTTCAATTCCACAGGAAAGCTCAATCCTAGGAACAATCCTGCTTGAGTTCCATAGAAAAGCTGAATCCCAGCAGCATTCCTGCTTTAATTCCACAGGAAAGCTGAATGTTAGGAGCAATCCTGCCTCAATTCCACCCGAAACGGAATCCTAGGAACAATCCTCCTTCAATTCCACAGGAAAGGTGAATCCTAGGAACAATCCTACCTGAATTCCACAAGAAGCTGAATCCCAGCAGCAGTCCTGCTTCAATTCCACTGGAAACTGAATCCTAGTAACAATCCAACTGGAATTCCACAAGAATTGAATCCTAGCAGCAATCCTGCTTCAACTCCACAGCAAAGCTGAATCCTAGCAGCAATCCTGCTTAAATTCCACTAAAAACTGAATCCTAGCAGCAATCCTGCTTAAATTCCACAGGAAACTGAATCCTAGTAACAATCCAACTGGAATTCCACATGAAGGCTGAATCCTAAGAACAATCCTACTTGAATTCCACAGGAAAGCTGAATCCTAACAGCAATCCTGCCTCAACTCCACAGGAAGCTGAATCCCAGGAACAATCCTGCTTCAACTCCACAGAAAACTGAATGCTAGCAGCAATCCTGCTTCAATTCCATAGAAAATCTGAATCCTAGGAGCAATCCTGCCTCAATTCCATAGAAAATCTGAATCCTAGGAGCAATCCTGCCTCAATTCCACAGGAAAGCTGAATCTACCAGCAGGATGAGGCAGCAGCTCCTGAACC